TATGTCTAATTATTTACCGCTGAGATCGGCGTATAACACGCAGGCAGGGTTTAAGCTTCCAATTTTAGTTTTAAAACTGCGTGTTATACGCCGATAAATACGGTAAATAATTAGACATACTCTTAGGGACTCTCACCTCACCCACTCTTGTAAAACTATTTCACGCAACTTTGATTCTGTATAAAGTTCTTGTAATGTAAATTATTAAAATTCAATTACAAGAGAGTAAGCAAGTACACAATGGGGAATATACATGAAAGGAATGCCTTAATATCAGCTATATGCTTACCCATTCTGGAAAATCTTTAAGGTGAAACTGATTAGAATTGTGCCAATTTCAGAAAGCAGCATAATTAATTAAGGTGGAAGAGCTGAGCTTGTTAACCTATGGTTAACAATCTTTAGGCAAACATTGTGAAACATTGTGAATAGGAAGGGACAGTTTATTTAAGCAATCTTTCCCCTCCGCAAATTCTGTGAGAAAAACAGAAGGGGAAAAAAACAAAATACAATTCTGACTGTTGAAAAAATACATATCAGTAAAATGGAAATATTACTGCAAATTGGGGAAGGTCAAAATATTCCTTCTTGCTCTTGGTTTCTTGTGGATGTAGGATTTTTGCTATACTATAAAGTATACTAAATGTAATGGAGCACTACAGAACAGATTTCATGTTTTTTTCTCCTTAAAAATATGACTCTATACCAGGGGTGTCAAACTCGATTTCATCATGGTTGTGTTTGACCTCAGTGGGCGGGGTGGCTGTGGCCAGGGTTGGCATGGCAAGCTCGATGTCACTCTTGTCAGGGGCACCTGTGGTGTCCTGAGCGCTCTGCCAGTGAAAACAGGCTCTCAAGCTCTGTTTTTGGCTACCATGCCCTCCTGCAACCATCTGCCAGTGAGAACGGAGGAGGCCGTGGCAGCTGAAAATGGAGCCCTTTTTCACTGAAAGAAGCACTGTGGGCTGTTTCCAGAGCAGTCCTGCAGGCCAGATTTCAGTACCCCATGAACCGGATTCAGCCCCTGGGCCTTGAGTTTGA